ACAAATAAAGTACATTTTGTTTACAAAAGATGATAAATCACATATTAAATGTCAGCCTTATGACTGAAAAGTCGGTAGATTAATTATCGATTTGCCATGTTGTGTATGTTATGATTATTTATTTATTTTTAAGTTTATTCTTAATGTAACTTTACTGAAGAAATGTAACGCCAATGTAACGGAACACATTTTGACTTAAAGGTGTTTAGCTAAAAGGGATGTGATACTCCATGTGGTAACTCACCGACGTAGAGCAAAAAATAAGACAAAAATCATAATTTCAAATATAGACAAAAGTTCCTGTATGGTCCTATATGGTAGATATATAAGACTGGCTAGCCTCTTGGAGAGTCATCATAATCAAACGAGACCTTCAACCTTCATCTTTACCTTGCTGATTGAAACGAGCTCCTGTCCAAGAATGTGTTCAGAGGTAAACCATAAATTATAATAACAAAGAATTGAATAACTTTTTTTTTCGGAAATAGGAGCTGAAAATAACTTTCCCAAATGACAGCTTGAGGCTAAGCACTCTTCAAAGAGGTTAATGTTCATAAAGAGAAAACAGTATTGTTGCTAGTTCTCTGAACGTTAACACTAGCAAGCGACAAAACTATGATATGGCAAACCGCTCAAACAAAGACGTCACGGTAGCAAACTTTCTGTTTCTTGACAAACCATCCTGGTCCTGCAAATATGGATATGCTGAGATGATTTGCAAAACACTTTTTAGATCAGACAGCTCCTCGATCCAGACTAGCTCCGGCTCGACCCAAATTACACTAACATAAGTTTCTGCTCGAAATATAGCACAAAGTTAGAATAATAATGGTAATAATAATAACAAAAAGAATATTAAGAATAATGATTAGAATAATTATAATAAAGGGACTTATTAACTGTCTTGCTGGTTTACTTAAAAGGAGACATTTATTCGAAGGAAACGATTAGAAGTAAAATATATGACGTTTCTTCTTGATAGATAGCTGGATTTTTAGCTACTCTTTATTTTGTTCGTTACAGTTTTGGTTTGTTCTCCTCGCTGGTGTTTTGCTACAAAACGCCATAATCATGGTTGAAACGTACCAGTTACAAGACGTACATGCCAGGGCTCAGAGGGTTGCAGACGAAGAACTAGAGACGAGAAAAGAAGTAAATGTTCGATATAAACGACAGAAGATATATGACCTCAGAGAAGAATTGGGGTGCCCCAGTTATACACCTAAACTGTCCTCGTCAAATTCTTGCGTGAAGGCGTGGTTTTATTGGCTACAGTATGACATAACTGAGGCTATATGTGAAATTCAAAGTTTCAAATGTTTTCACAGAATACGTCCGGAAACTGGCCACATGCGTTGTTCTCCAGTTACTAACATTACAGAGATAACTTTACCCAGGAAAGGAAGAATACGGGTAAAATATATTGCGAATTGCCGGTGTGCATAAAACCATGCAGACTTAATATTAAAACGAAAGGCTGTCATATGATAATTTGTTTCAAGATGAATATTGTTTAAAAAAGTGGTTACAAATGATTAACAAAGATGAGCTCAATAAAAAAGTATTTTCAAAACTCTCTTTCTTTGAGAAGATTTTTTGGTCTCTTCGCTTCACTTGCTTATTTTAAAAGAATTCCTGTAAACATTTATTTAGTTCCTGTCAAAAATATTTAACGTAAGTAACGTAAGGTCGTTAAAATACTGTGTTCATTGGCCCTTTTTTGAACAAACAACGTATCAAAAAGCACATTTATAGAAGCAGCAAAATGGTAAATCATAACATCTCTTGCACCTCTTACACTTGTTTGAACTGTGTGCATGAGACTGAATGAATTCATATTTTGAATGACGTCACAGGTCCCAAGCAGCCCTTTATCCCTTACATTTTGTAAGTATTATTTAACAATAGAGACCTTAAGATACCCCGAAATCGGTGTACGGGTAACGGGTAGCGCCATGTTTTTTTCATTTTGTGGTGACGTCATCGACCTTACCCGGTAGAACCAGCCGTTTTTCCGGGGTAGACACCAGTTTACCCGTAGAAGATTTACGAGTAGCTGCAAGTCCTACATGATGGAGAAACGAGTAAGTTTTTAAGACTTTTTAAGTACAAATGTAAATTGTATGACTCCTTGGCAATGTTATTGCAAGTCTGTTCAAATATTTTTGCCAAATTTGAATTTTAGCTGTAAAGAAAGCGCTTCAAAATGTATAGTGATTTTGGACCTCAAATGTGCAGGTTGAACTCTGAAACGATGTCAATTTGTGGCGGCATTTGGGGGGGATTTCTGAGAATTGCTCGAAGGTTTGAGTTTCGCAAAAGAAATAGCATTGAAATATTTAGCATGGGAGCCACTGTTGAAGTTGACAATCAAAGGAATTGTTTGGTGATGTGCCTCGATCAAAATGGCGGGGTTTGCGATAACAAGCTTTCGGTCGAGGGACTTCCCGCCAAGTTTCTTAAAATCTTTCCATGATATTTCAATAAGCTTATGTATGAATCAATTATTTGTTGCAGCTTGTTGTTAAGATATGACGTGTAGAATTTGAGGGAGATTTTGTATGCATTAAGCGACATGCATGTACGAAGTTCATTTTCCGTGCTTGTTCTTCGGGTATCTTAATCGAAATAGTCACGCACATGAACACTTTACGTGTACGGGTACACTACCCGTACCCGTACACCGATACCGGGGTATCTTAAGGTCTCTATTTATTCCACAATTATTCCACGAGTGCGCGTTGGATATGAGTTGGCTATAATCATCTCATACCCAACAAGCGCGACTGGAATAATTTTTCTATTAAAAACGCCCAGAAAATATCGAGATTTCTTCCCGACTTTTAATTTGTAAAAACAAACGATTTTCAGCTTCTTTTTACTTTTGAGTGGTCGCGTACAGTTACCATATTTGGAGAGCATGGTATAATGGCTCATATACCATGATGGCTAAGCCAATCAGAGCTCTATAAGAATTGCATCATCCAATGATTCAGTTTTTAATAACAGAGATTATCACATGAAATGTAGTATCGTCGTTAAAGGAAAGGGTGATATTGAAAGTAGCAAAAAACGAAATACCGCAAAACGTGAAATATAAAATGTAAAGTTAGCTAAGCCTAAAGACGTCGCATCCGTTATGAGACTTGGCGTTCAATTTACTTGAAACTAAAAACTCTTTTAATTACAAAGACATGTGTAAATTTACTTCTCTTTAACTGCTCCAGGAACCTCACCTTGAGTTTACCTCTACGTCCACTGCGGTCAAACGCCCGAGACTATATTTCTATTTTATTTAGGGGGATTTCATTCATCATTTTGTGTAAACATTGACAAGGGTGTATAAAAGAATTAGTGAATACGAATATCTTGGCATTTTCCTCCAAATAATAAGCTTCTTTTCGAAAAAAAACAGTTCGCGACCGAGTGAAAATTTTGTTGACAAATGGCGTCAGCAGTAACACGAAGTACATGAGCATGTGACTCCAAAAAATCTTGTTTCACTTTCGTATTCAATCTGATACTTATCATTAATCAAATTGGAAGGTCTTCCCCAATTAATTTTCACTTCGCAACTGCAAGATTCGCCCGTTTCTGGTCAGAACAGAACCCCCATTTTAATGAAAAAGAAATTGAGATTACACGAATATTGACAACAAATACATCAGTAATAGATATTCAACATAAACTGTCATGTCATCGGTTGCATTTACACAGTTGTCAGTTGACAGCTCACACTATTTAACGCTTATGTCACTGCTATTTGCACCCACGAAGCTTTAGTGCAAATAAATACATCGTTCTCCTAAGAAGCTTTCTTGTGCCCTGGTCATATCATGTTCTTATTCTTCTAAAGCTGATTCAATAAAATACAACGCAACTTATCCCTGTAGAACCTTAATACGGAACAAAAATCGGCTGTCTTCACCGAGTGTATTTAGTGTAAATAGAAGGATCCCATAACAGATTCAAGGAAAATTCCCCGAAGATTAGCGAACATTGATACACTGACTGACTAACTATGGATTTGCGCTGAATAACGCAGAAAAGGGACACCTTTTTCATGTCCTTGAAATGTATTATTTTACCCTGACCTGTCTTCATTATTTCAATCAGCTGTATTTTCACTCTTACTGCGTTTGTTTCCCCCATCATTTTTCGCAATAAAAATGAAAACACAGTCGTGTCTAATCTGAAACTAAACCCGGAGCTTTTGTCTCGAAAAGTACATCCAATGTACATGGGATTAAACACAGCCTGCGCGAGTAAAAGTTGATTGGTCGAAGCTTTGATTAAAAGATGACGTTCTTCAGTTTGTGAAACATTTCTAGCGCATCGACTTAGAGCAAGGAGGGATTAAGGTAGGCGTTTGCTCTGTCAGTTTAAATATCCCTCTATAACAGACCAAGCGGAACTTAACTGGGTAAAAGTCGCTCACTGATTTTCTTTTGACACTTCTACAAAACCAGTGCATTTTGTTATTCATTTTTGTTTAAAAGGAGAAAAAATCTAAAACATTTTTACCATTGTCAAAAAACCGGAGGGTACAGGCAATCGATCTCGCATTAAAAAAGTGTAAATTTTTTAGTTCTTCTCGCTAGAGCAATAAGGTTTCATACCGTTAAAGATGTAAGGCCTGCCACCCCATTTTAACTTTTATGGCAGATACACAATGCAAATAAGACCGGTGATATATATATTTTTTTTTGCCGAGAACCCGGTGAAGATTTAGATTTCACTGGGTTTGTTACAAAGGGGTGTTTTTCCTGAGTAATGATCATCAGCCATCATGATTTTAATTAGGGTGCGTGAGGACATTCTAAGAACTTTAAATAGCATGAACAATGTTCTGGATTAAGATACCCCGGAAAAAAAAACTAATTTAGATTCATAGCATTAAATGAAATCAAAGAAAGTACTGTTTCATGCAAACTTTTTCTCTATTTTAAACATAAAATGACCGTATTTTTTTTGCATTAATTTATTCTTTCCGTCATTAGATGATGAGTCCCTTGCTGTCGCTGTTAATGCTTTGCGTGCTTCCGCTGGAAGCGAGCGAGCCTGCCCCAGCCCCTAAAGGAGCCTTTGAGACGATTTTAGACATCAATCTTGGGAAAGGTTAGTTACGCTGATTTCCAATTTCCTTTGAAGAAGAAAAGCTCACAGATAATGATCACCTCGAATTGCATGCCGCGCTAAACGTGATTTTGACTTATAAACATACAGATGATGTAGAGAGTACGCACACCCCAGCCAGTCTCTTTGAAGGAGATATTAAATTAACAGAGGAACAACGAACGAATAACATGCTATTCGGAAACCCAGAAGGAGGCACGTCACGAGCTGCAACTAATGTGGACAAAATCAAATGGCCTAATGGAGTCATCCCTTACGAGTTTGATTGTAGTGTAGGTGAGTACCTCAGGGGTTTCTCAAGCTTTTACAAATACAGATCTGCTACCTACACAGAGCCGCAGTTGTCGCTCCATGTCAGAGAATGGATCCGGATTCCGGATAAATGGGAAATTTTTGCTTTTTGAACCCGGAATCCCAGGCTTTGGAATCCGGAATACAGCTCAAGGAGTCCGGAATCTCGCTTCTGATTGGAATCCAGAATCCAAGCGCCATTGAAAAAGGATCCGGAATCCATGGCCTGGAATCCAGAATGCAAGACTGTCTTGGATTCCCTTACATATGGGACGAGTAGTTGGCAAAAATTGTGATGTCCAAATTAATTTTTAAGCTGTTGTTCCTTTTTAGGCATCTTAGATGCTGCCTTAATTTCCTGCTGTAAATTGTTTCTTTTTCGTTTTCCAGGGGCGTCTAAGTCTCAACGCTACCTTAAAAAACTCAGAAATATCATAAGAACAAAAAAACGCTAAGTTATTCTTCAGTGAGTGTCTCTATACATTGCTAACTTTTATGCTCCATAATGAATGTCACTATATAAAACCAGACGAGGATTATTCATACAAATCTGGAGAAAAAATTGAGGGCTGCCATCTCCATGAAAAGGCAATTGGGAAACAATAGAGATGGCGAACATAATCATTTTGACTATTTGTGTACGTTCGTGTTTCATTCAGCTAACATGGATCGTGCAGTGCGAACTACAATGCAGGCCATTGCTGAGTGGGAGAGCAAAACATGTCTTAGATTTGTGAAGAGGACAACTGAAAAGGAATACCTGTGGTTTCATCGAGGAAATGGGTAGGAATCAAATTGCGCGTTGTTGACCGATTTCGTTTAAAATCAATCAATTACATCTGAGATTTGTCTTGATACATTTATCACGTGACCAGACTTATGTTACTTATGACGTTATATCACGTAACCATAAAGAACTAACTGTCTCTAAATTTTGCTGAGGTTTTCCTTAAGTTTTAAAGTGCAGCTATTGTAGACAATAGTTTAAAGAAAAGAATGGGTACAACATACAAGCTAAAACACAAAACTGAGGGCACTCAAAAAGTAGTCTGGGGACTGGGAGACATCCGATCCACTTCACAAACCCCGTTGTATATATACCGAAGTGGTAAGTGTTTTAACAACTTTTTTATAGCTGCTGGTGTGAGGTTGGTAAAGTGTATGGCCGTGAAACGTGGCTATCCATTGGCAGTGGATGTGAATACAAGCATGTGATGACGCACGAGATTGGACACGCCATTGGCTTTTGGCATGAACAGAGCAGACCTGACCGAGACAACTACTTGAAAATCAACTGGGAAAACATTCTGGACAGTACGTTTTCAACTGAAAAGTAGCAGTTATCTTATTATAATCTAACGAAGCCATGATAAAGCTTAAACCTAGACAAACAGCCGTGCCGGGTCTGCGGGGCGGGGGGTGGGGTTTCTGGGTCCTCAGGTCCCCCAGAAAGGAGCCATCAGATCATAAATACATACATATTTACAACGGCGAACCAAGTAACTAAAAGTGCTTTTTAACTAAATTGCCCATCAATAATAATAATAATAATAATGATAATAATAAATTTATCCGGCACTCTATAGCCCATCCCATGTTCGCAATTCCCGCGTAATTCGCATTCTTTGGAAATCAAACAAATGCTATGCTGTAGGTCAATCAAGCCAGCCTGCGACGAAACTGAAGTTATGATGTTACCATCATTTCATCGTTTATTATTATTTATTATTATTATTATTATTATTTATTTATTTGTTGTTTTTTTTTAAGACATGGCCTATAACTTCAAAAAGAAGGTTTACGGAAGTGAAGTAGTTGATTATGGAGTCCCGTACGACTACGCCTCCATCATGCACTACCCGTGGACGGCTTTCTCCAAAAATGGCAAAAAGACCTTGGAGCCCATCCGACCCCTTAACGGAAAGACCCCGTATGTGAAACTAAGTGACGATGACGCATTACAGGCGCGCAGGATGTATAAATGTTCTGGTGAGAAAATAAGAAATCGCTCCATGTATAGGAATCCAGCCAATTTTTGTTCGTGGAATCGGAGATCCTGGGCTTTGGAATCCGGAATACAGCTCAAGGAATCCGGATTCCCACTAACAATTGGGTCCGGAATGCAATTTCAGCTTCCGGTTCAAATCTGACAGCTTCTTCCTCGCTTCTTTATAATTATTTTACATCTGCATGTAGCCTTTCGTTTTGCAAGTTGTAAATAAAGTTATTGATTCCGTACAGCAAAAATTGCTGAGTATTGTTTAATAGAGAAGTTACGTTGTTTAAGCTTAAAGCTAATGTTTGTGTTGTGAATTTGCCGACTAATAACTGACAGTATTACATGCGCTGTGTTTGCTTATAGGACGTAAAAGATCCGTTGCACTTGATGAAAGAATCGAAAGAATCAATTCAGGTAGTAGTCTTTTTTCAACACTTTTATCTGTCAAATTTACATTATGTAAGTAGTTTGACTTTTCGAGGGTGACCATGTTTTTCTTAAGGCCACATAGACTGACTAACTGAGCCACATAAATCTTATTAACGAAACCACCCCGAAAGCAACTGATTTGCACTTAAATAGATGCTTTTATTCATTCAAGTTCAACACAACTTTTTATTATATATTAATCAATTAAATTTTGGTTTTTTGAAGATCAGAAACAAGAACGATGCGTGGATATTGCGGAAACGAGTGAATGCGAGGGCTGGAAAAAGTCGGGATTTTGTCGCCAACACGAAGCTCTGGTATATTGGTGCAAAAAAACGTGTAACCTTTGTTCTTCTGGTACGAAAAAGTGAAAAATTTATCGATGAGGCTAAGAATGATACGAAGAATTATGCACATCGTTTATGGGGTTGTCCATCCGCGCCGCTGTCTCCTTGTGACGACAATTTTCCAACAATTTTTTCCTTATTGACCTCAATCCTATCACCTCATGCAAGGGAATCCGGAAAGTTTTTGCTTTTGGAATCCGGAAACCTGGGATTTGGAATCCGATTAACGATTGGAATCCGGAATCCAAAAACCCGGAATCCAGTACCTGAAATCTGGAATCCACGGCGTAGAATCCAGGATCCAAGTTTGTTTGGATTCCTTAACTTCGGGCATGAAATCTTAAAATAATAAGCAATCAAATTTAGGCAACCTACAGATGCAATATGTATAGACAACATTCAGGAAAAGGTTTCGCTCACTTAATTACTTTTTAACCTAGAGCATTTTTAATATTCCAAAATTTCAAAACACCTTCTTAAGTTAGCTTTATGAAGACGATCTTTCAAAAAGTTCTTAATTTTTATGCTACTCACTTTTAATATTTAATTTTAGGATTTTTAATGTTATTTTAGTTTTAGTATTTTAATTTGAAAGGAGGACCCTCCTGAAACCACTCTTGGTGATGGAGGCCTCCTCTTAAAATATGTGTTTTATTATTAGTATTTGTTAGTATTAAATTTAATGAGCTTGTTTTGTGGTCTCAGGGGAAGGCATTACATTAAGTGAATGGTATTATATCCGATTTTCAATTTCAGATAGTTGCATGGACACAAAAATAGATTGCCTTAACTGGAAAGACTCAAACTTATGTACAGACGATCAAGTTAAGAAAGACTGTCCACATTCATGTGGAACGTGCGGCAATACCGGAACAGGCTGTAGTAAGTGCCAGTTTAAATTAAAGGAAGTACTACGTTATGCTTTAACTTTTTTCTTTTAGCGACAGAACGAAATGTGTCATTAAAAAGTCGACACTGAGAGGTGCATGAAAAAATGACTGTAGCTGAAGAGCACTTCAGACAGGGATTATCTCAAGTATAAAACTCGCTTTAATATTTTTCGTTAACAACAAGGTGAGCGCAAAAAATGTCGGAGTCGTCATCACATGTCAACTTCTTTGTTACAATAACTGAGAGAATCCTCGCGCGGGGTCGAGAGCTAAGGTCTATGAGAGGATAGACCATGGAAACGATGTAACATGTCAAGCAGTGCCGGTTGTTTTGTTTCTGGTTTTTCGTAAAAAAAATAAAGGTTATTGTAAAAAACAAATCGACCACAGTTTTTTTTTTTGTCTACACTCTTATAAACCATAGAAATGACGCCATAAAATGTTGAAAACTTTGCAGCTGCAGTGAAACCACTCGCCTGCTGCTCGTGGTTCCACTTGAGTTTTGGACATTTTATGACGTCATTTCTAGGGTCTGTAAGAGTGCAGACCTTGGAAAATTGTGATCGATTTGTTAAATACTATTCTAACTATTACTCGACATCAGTTGCTCTAAAAGTTCCATTTCTATCTTATTGCAGATTCAACTCCACCACCAGCGACGACGCCCTCAACAAACTCCCCTGTTACCAATAAACCAGCCACATCTCAACCAACAAACCCACCCATATCGCCAAACAGCACTGGAGTAGGCGAGTCTAGATACTGTATTGTTTGTAAATTCGTTATCGTAGCGTTACTCTCAGTGGTTGGAAAAGCCTAGTTTCAATAAGCTTACCTAGTCCTTGCCTTGTGCCAAGTCCCTGTACGGCGTTTCCCCAGTCCCTCTCGATTTAACGCTTTTGGCCGCGTGGAATAATGAGGCTTAGGGACTAGGCAAGATTTAAGCGGCAATAAACCATTTTCACGATGACGACATTTGATTACAACTACCAGAATTATTATTATTTTTTTTGCTTTCTTATTTAAATTTGTCAATCCCGCTGAGAGAACAATAGCCCTAATTTGTACAAAAAAAAAACTGAAGAATTCTGGTGGTTGTAATAAAATTATGTCGTCGTGCAATTGTCCTATTCAGTCAAATATCGACGTGCCAGTGATTTGCCGCGCGACTGGAGAGACAACTCTTGAGAGCAGAGGCTATTTTTTCGTAAGTATTTATCGTGAAAAAGAAGCGTTTGAGTTTGCTCGCAAAGTAAGAATTGCTAAAATACTGCAAAAAATGTTGTTGGTGCTGGTTGCACGGCTTTGGTGGATTTTAAAGTCATCACTTTGTAAGTCTTGGGGATGAGGAGGCAAATATATTAAATAAACTGGCGGTCTTTTTGAGCGATTTTTGACACATACATCACCCAGTTTCATCGAAAAGCAGTTAACAGCAAAGAAAAATACCAACAAATGCGCTCCACGTGCACACAGAATTGTCGTTTTGCTAAATAATATTAAAACGGCTGCTGTTTCGCCGTTCTGGTTGACGTCGCCGTCGTGAAGATCTTAAACTCAATGTCAGGCTAAATTTTCTTGTCATCGCTTTTTTAAATAGGCTTGAGGTGCTTGGACAAACGCAAAAGTTGTAAAGACTGGGCTGATCGAGGTGACTGCATCACCAATGGTTGGACTGAGAGAACATGTCGGATCAGCTGCAAAACACGCTGTGATAACCAGCCAGTAAAGCCGAAAGGTACAAACAGCTTCTTTATATATTTACTGACGATAGGAATGGAGGCTGTGGAAGCAACATAATTGCGTCTATTTGCACGTAGCTAAAAGACTTACCGGTTTTAAACTTTACGCAACAACTCCCAATAACATGCAACTTGGTGTGTAAAAGGAACAACATGTAACATCCAAAAATGTTGGGAGTTGGCCAACAATGTTGCGTCTGTTTGCACCGGGCTTCAAACATGAATATAGTCCAAACTTGTGCAACTAAAGCGCAGTCAGATGAACATAGCTTCAAATTGTGGTTTTGATAGGTATAGAGATCAATACGCCAACAGATAACAGTTTGCTCGACATGTACTCACTCATGTGCAACAGATAAGGTTATGTTCATGCGCAGTTTGGTCCTTCTCTTTCAAGATAATCGCGACCCCATGTTTCCCCTAAACTAAGATCGGGATTAAGAGCGTAATGATTGAACATTAAAACAATTGAATCGTGTAGCAAAATATGGTGATAGTTCTCAGTGAATCGCAGACAACTTCATTATCCCCATTTGCCACTTCTTTCGGTTACCGGCCAGTTTCAGCCAACCAGCGGTCGGGAAACGATTTTGTCAAGAGAGCATGCACAGAATGGGACGAAGATTCTAGTACGAGATTAAAATAAGAGTAACGTAATCTATGTAATTTGTGTTCAGGCTCCTGCTCCGATGGCCTCGGTCTAGGGTGGCCTGGGGACTATAAACTGCCTGACAGTGCATTTAGAGCCTCGACCGACTACAGGCCAGGTGAGCATTACGTGAAAATCAAATACATGTGCAATCATTAACATGTAAGAAATATGTTTGAAATTAAGAAAATGTTAAACGAGCACCCACTGAAAAACTTGCGATTTTGCACCTGTCACCAATTGAAGATATATGCAATAAGCAAGCATGTCTTGATCATGTGACAGGAACGCATTCCAGGTGCTATGCATAAACTTAAATTTCGTGATTCATACATACAGGGTCGTCAAGATAAACGTATGTTTTAAGATACTGTGAGGAAAATAGCCGCTACTCCATTTGTTCCAAATACCATTAAAAGAAAACCCTCGCTGGCTCTATAATTAGTCATTCGCTACTATCTACATGATAACAGTCAGATTCCTTTGTTCAAACCTTTTCATCGTCAGATTCCTGCTCCAAGTCCTGAATGACAACTTTTGTTAAACTGAAAGTGACCTTTACAAGGTATTCGCACCTTTAGAAGCAAGAAGAGAAATACCAAACGGGTTAACTTTCGCAGAGACTACTGGGACTGTCAAAAGGTACAGGGAAAAAATGGCAATTAGCTGACTGAAACGTTCCCAGCAACCATCCCAGAAACAATTGCGGGGCGCATTTCGACTCTAGTTCCCTTTCCGTTTCTAAAATGGTGAATACAGTCAGGAAATCCGGTAACTCGAACTCTGAAGGGAAACGAAAACCAGTTCGAGTTAGCGAAAATTTCTTGTTATCAGGATAAATTTCAGTGAAATTTTGATTAAAGGAAAGTAAATTTAGTTCGAGTTAGAGGGGGATTCGAGTTATCCGAGTTCGTGTTATCGATGTTCTACTGTACTTATTAATTTGCTGAAATACATTTAGGAGGCAGCTGGCGAGCTTCCGCCGACAATGCTCGTCTTTACTTCGAGGATGATCACACGAACAAGAGGATTGGATCGTGGTGTGGAAATGAACGAGATAACCAGTGGCTACGCGTTGATCTGGGAAGAAGAAAGAGGATAAGGGCTATTGCAACACAAGGTAAAAACGGCGAATAAGTCAAGAATAAATATAAAGAGGGTTTGTTTGTTGTTTTGTGGACAGGGGGCTTAAATTGACTTTTAACCTGCGATCTGAGGTTCGTATTTTCTAATGTATATTTCTTTTTATTTTAATTTGATCTTACATTTTCTTTTCAAGAACCGCCAGTCTCCCTCCACCTTAAATAAATCGCAACTTCTGGTGGACCTGTTATGATCATGACTGACATTTCGCATTCTTATGACTGACGCGAAAAACTACACGTCACGTTTGCTACCGAACAGTATCGTAATCGGATAAATGTAGCCAAAATCGATTACCGAACATTCTGAAACACCATTATAGTGCCAGGTAGAATTCGAATTCCGTTCGAAGAACATAAAACCTAATGTCCAGCCAACCAGAAGGAACACCAGATTCCTGCCTTTTTACTTGTGATCTGGTAGACAAGTATATCACGAAATGGAGGGCACCATGTTTGTGAGCTAATTAGACCGAATACTTCTGGGGTGTCGAGACAGTGTCGGTAAAATTAAAGAAGCCCTTCATCCTTTCAGGATGATCATGCTTACCAAGCCAAAATTATAGTTTTTCTTCTAGAGCAGATGTTCATAGTTAACAGCACCCTTTAAAAAAAAGTCGTCAGATGCTGTGAAGGTCGGGTTTTAAATTACTGCAGTTTTGAGGTCAAGAGAAATGTTGTAACGAAGTTTAAACGACTTTTATTTAATATAACTTAATGCGTTTGTTTTTGAAGGTCGTGATATGTTCCATGAACATGTCAAGGAATACAAACTGGCCTTTAGTGACAACGATTCCAACTACCAGGTGTATCAGGAAAATGGTAAAGACAGGGTAAGTTTCTTCCGCAGCTTATCTTTGATACTTGTTCACAAGATACCCCTGGAATTTTCTAGTGGCGTTTAGGTGTTCCGGTCACACGGAAACATTCAGACGTATTTCTGTTCAAAAATTAAAACGTCAAAATAGAGAAGAAGCCAAATTTGTAGCCGCTACGGCCCGGCGAAGCGGTGTGAAAACTATAACCGTCTAAATTTTTGGACAGCGATGGCGTGGCTGCATTGATGCGTGGTCACTCAGCTGAAGACGCCATTTTGGATTTGCTGCAGTAACGCTTTGTCCAGGAACAAATAATAAAACCACTAAAAAAGGTAAAATTAAATTAGTTCGTCAGGTTCTGTGTGAACAAAGTAAAAAGACAAATGCAGTGGAAACCGCCCACCTTAATTACGGCCACCCTGGTAGTATGGTCATCTCGTTATTGCGGCCACTTTTGTTCTTTACATTAAAAACGCCGTTAATGCAGTGACGCGTTGATACGGCCAACGGCCACATTTTAAAATTCCAAACGGTAGAATGTCTTATAATTTCACCTCGACCCCGTTAATACGGCCACTTGTTCGAAATTTAGCAAATTAACTGCCTGTGATATGTCAATTTTAGTGACCTAGCACTCTGAGTCTGTTCTTGTACTGTTTCTAGACCACAGTACACATAAAGTGCGCATGCACTTGCTGCGTTTTATAGCTGAATTTGAAAAGTGTTTTGTGTACTGGAGGAAAATTTTAAGTAGTTTTTTCAATTACTGTACGCGATATCTTTATTCTGGTTGTTTATAAATGCGAACTGTTGTTCAAGAAATGCGAATGCCATGTATGGTGTACTTGTCATTCAGCCCTCAAGTCATGAAATTTGAACCAGTGCCCCGATATACCGGGGGGAGTACTCCCTTATATAAGCCTTACAGGTATGTGCCGCCCCATCGGGAAGGGGTTTGCGCCGTTTCGGTCTGAAAACGGATATACACTTTGCCCATTTTGATCTGGAATCGGGTCTGGTTTTCGAGGGAGCTACGTACGAGAGTGTATGAACGTATTTACCGTTTCAATGAAAGAAAGAAAAATATGCGAATTTGAAACGGATTCGAATAATTTTTTTGTTTGCGCTCTAATCTAAGTAATGATAACATAATTTCTGCCTAAAGGCCAGGTCTGAAAACAGGTATGGATTTTAGAGGTCTCGTCTGAAAACGGATGTGGAAAATTACATTTTTTGGTCTGAAATCGGGTTAGGATTTGAAGTTAGTTCCCGTATTTATAATGAGATTTATGTATTTGTTTACGAAGTTCAATTTGCACTCTCTTGTTCATGGTTATTTATGACCACAGCTGAAAATAAGTTTATTACTTACGATGTTTTCGTCTAATCTATAGGTCTTTATTGGAAACTGTGACCATTTTACGCCGGTTCTGAATACATTTAATCCTGTTACGGCCAGATACGTCAAAATCATTGTCGTTAAGGCCAGCTATCCATGTATGAGGGTTGAATTGTATGGCTGCGACGCCTAAAGATCGTGAGTATGTTAGTGAACACGATCTAGAAATCACAAAGTGATAATACGATCTGCGAAACCTTATCTTAAGTTTACTAGTCAAGAAAACTCAAATTTTTCCTTTAGATGTTCCTTCACCTAAGAAAAAATGCGCCTGTACACCCAGGGGAGGGAGGGAGGGGGAGTACTGCCAAAATATGGGCTGTATAGGAGTGTGTCGCTGTGAAGGGTAAGGTTTTCAAGCAGTTTACTCTGGGACATAGTAAATACATCAGGGAGTTTGGGTCTAGTATACAGTATCATTTTCCAGGAAACCGATCAATTGGTTAAAGATTTTAGTTTAGACTACAGAAACCGGCAATTGCCAATCAAAAATCATAAAAAAATCAAATCGGTTTTGTTTTGGCTCGACTGTGCTAGCGACCTTAGTAGTTTCTGGAAAAAACAGCTACTCTAGGATAGGGGGAAGGGGGATTTGGGGAGTTTAGTCTAGTATAGGGTAGTAAAACTCACTTGACTAGCTCTGGTATAGGGTAAAGGTTCGAAGGTCCCAGCAGCACTTCCCCACCCACCCCCAAGCCTGTTCATTAAAATAATATCAGAAGATGATGACTGGCTGATTAGAAAAGATGACCTCCTAACAGGAAATATGACTGTTTTCTCTCTATTTTTATCCACAGATCCACCACCGGAAATTTCTCAGTCAACTAATAACATTAATGAAACGTTGTAGAGTATTTTAGAGTTATGGTAGACGCTGCCTAAGGGCAGCATAACTGACAAATAAAGTACTCAGCGCAAAACTACTCTTTTGTTTACTTTTTTTGGGAGGAAAGCGCCACTTAAGGGCTGAATTTTATGTACGGCTTTACGGGAGTATCAGCACACTTTTTATCGCCCAAAGCAGTGCTATAAAGTAATGTTGTTAATGTGTCAAGGGTGCAATGGGGTGTTTGGTTTTAATTGGTTCAAACAAAGGGAAATAAAAGTTTATAATAAGAATGGAAATGATGAACCGCACATATGCACGTTGCGGTCGTAAACCTGAATTGTGCAAGCGTTGACAGCGTACTAGTCTGCTACACAGCCGTTTTTAGAGGCGTCACGCAACGCTCCGCCCCAGAATTCCCAGGAATGTGGTTCGGTTCTCAGCAGCCGTTTGTGGGGAGGAGCGTTGCGTGACGACACTAAAAACGGCTCAGTGCAGCAGACTAAGAGCGTACGCACAACATCCGCTTTCATAAAGGAATAGTGCATGTCAATTACTTAATTAGTACATTTTATTACAGAATTGGCCAATAGGAGCTTGAGTTTTATATTACAAGAATAAAAAAAGTTAAATTAAGACTTTGCGGTTAAAACATTTGGTTTACAACTTTGGGAAAAATTATGAAGCTTAATTCTTAATTTTTAATCACGACTTTCGCTTGCCAACCAAACAAATTGTTTTGTCAGGCAATCAACTGACAAAGATTTTTATTAGTAAAAACTATAAAACAAGTAAATAACCTTAACGAAGGACATGACATTAGTCAATCTAAGTTATTCCATCACTATTTAGTATTTATGGACTAAGCAAACAGGTTATAACGTCATCGACGTTAAGTATATTCACTTGACAGATATTCCAAAATAAGTAGCAGATTAACTGCGTACTGCGTAACTTGCGTAACTACGGAAAGAGATCTCACGTCCATTACTGCTTTAGTAATTGGAAGTTGTCTTAAACAGAAAATGCTTTAAAGTTGTATAAGATGAGCTGAGAGGGTCACCTGCTGTACAACATTTTGCCGCAGGTTAAGAATACCAGATATTAGCTCAGAAGAAAGTCAGCCGTTGAACCCTCAAGTAGACTTGCTCTCTTTTATGAGTTTTGGCCTGAAGCCTGAAGGTAAAACACCGCTAATTCAGAAAATCCCAAGGGCAACTTAAATGACAAATAAACTGCTCAATGTAAAACTACTCTTTTGTTTGCCTTTTTTGGCTTAGGAGAGGACCCACTTAAGGCAGAATGTTATGTACGATTTTACGCGAGTATCAACACACTTCTCATCGATATGCACAAAGCAATAATGTCCTTTTAAAGAAAGGTTAATGTTTCCAGGTTGCAATGAGCTGTTTGGTTGTAATTAGTTCCACCGACAAAGAGATATAAAAATAGGCTGATGACCAAAAGATATGAAAATGAACCGCAGAATATGCACATTGCAGTCGTATAACTGAATTGCGCAAGTGCAAAAACCATACGCTCACCATTAAGAAAAAATATTACAATATACCGCTATGATTACAGTGCGACTACTGGACCCGGGGCACTTGGAAGAAGACTATACAATCACAACGTTTTTTGAAAACATTGTCAAATGTTTTGCAAACGGACTAATTAAATTCAAGGATCAACTATGCAACCGTTGAAAACTTTAAAACCGTTTCAACCAAACTGAAATCTATGAATGTTATTGGTCTGTTTGCAAAAAGAAAAAGCTTGAGAATCTTTGATTTTCAAAAAACGCAAGTTGTGATTGGATAAAAATTCTTCCAAGTGCCCCAAATCGAGTACTTGCTCTCTAACGACTCGTCCTGTGTGTCAAACTTAATAACATTTTATGTCAGAATTAGCCAATAGTTGCTCGCCTTTATATATTACCAGCCTAAAAAATCAACACAGGATTTTTGTGGTTCAAAACTTTTGGTTTGTAACCCTTCTGATATACATTTCTTTGATAAAAACTATCAGGAAACAATTTAATAACTCTCACATAGAACACGTTATTAGCCAATCTTATTCCATCACACTCTTATGACATTCCTGTGCATTCCTTTAATAGGACGGGGAGAAAATAGATTATGACGTCATCGACGTTAAGTATATTCACTTGACAGAAATAGTTGATTCCAAAAAACGTAGCAGTTTGACTGCGCGCTTACATCCGGGTGCTCTGCAATCAATGCTACGAAAAATTTGAAGTTACTTTACAAGTAGTCTTATGGGATGAAACATTCGTGAACAAATCTAAAGCTGTTCAAATCTATTTTATTGACAAATTTCTATGATAAATACATGTGGGTTCTCGATCCTGTTGTTAACTTATTAAGCTTAAATAAATCCTGTATGTACTCCATAACACAATTAATTAACTTGTACAATCTTTCTTCAATTACATTATTGATTGCAATGACATCCTACAACAACGTTGTTTCTATCTCTTGTGCTCATACACTTCCCATCTCCCGCTCCAAGCAAAGGATCAAAGCAATCAAAAGAGCCTCTCTTACATTCAAGAACCAGTTTTCCATTAACCATAAACCTTGGCTTTTCACACTTAGAAAATGAATGTCGCTTGAAAAGTGACCAAGGACGGATTCTTGAAGAGTTGGGCGACAAGGCAGAACTCCGCTGAGCCAACGTACTTGAATCAACGGCTTTTGTAATGTCCTCCCTTTGTTTACAAGATACCTCGTAGGATAACAACAGGAGAAAAAGTGCCAAAAGAATAGTTTCCGGTAAAAAGGAACGGCTTGTTAGATGGAATTGTGTGCTTTTCTCTAGACTGATTGAGCGGGTAGAGATAGAACTCTTTTACATGCAGCCGTGCTTTGACGCCCCTGAGCTTGCGATACTTAAGTCGCGCCCTCATTGACCGTATTACTGAAGGACAAAGAGTGAATGGAATTAACTCTTACTCACTCATTCCACGTTAAGTGGTTAAATTGTGCCAAGGATTTTCGAAAAATTGAAGGTCAACAAATCAGACAAGTAGTTAGTTTAACCGAAAGATGTATTATTGAAGGGTGGTGAGAAACCAAAATTTGGTCAACATATCTTTTATCTATAAAAAGTTATAGCCTGTTATTTAATAGCATGTAGTGTGATATTTTGTATGGCTTGAAACAGCACAGTGTTGCATTATAGTATGTTTTTTTCAATTTAGCATACTCTAAAATGTTTAAAACGAAATCCGTGGAATGCTAAGGTCTGAGTTTTACATTTTAGTCAAGTCAGTGGCTCAAGGAATGAAAAAGTCAAGTTGTTCTGCCGTGGTGTACTTTGGTCTGACGTAACAAAATATTGAGAATTTAAAATTGCTGTGTTTTTTTAATGTTTTTTCTTTAAAAAAGCCGTCAGACTAAACATTATTTTGCTAAATTTGAAGGAAAGAAAGTGTCGTTTACCTTAATTATAGTTTGGAAACATGTGATCTAGTAGAAAACGAATGATTATCAAATAAATTTCGGTAACGGAAGTTACAGAAGGAAGGTAATATTTCATTTCTCTTCCAACTACTTACTTTTGGGATTACAGACCGTCTTAAATAACAATGCATATGACTTTTTCTATTGAATTGAATTAATGCTAAACAATTTTGGATGAAATTTTGGAATTTTTGGGTGGAACGAGGCTAAAAACAACAAAATGAGCAAAATAAATTGAATTGAAAGAAAAAAAATTAATAGATGCATGGTAATCTGTTAGAATTCGTACAAGAATTGTCAGTAATACATGAATATTGTAAAGTCCATTCACAGAAAAAAGGGGTTGAACTAGCGAAAAAAGCTATCAGATAATCCACTTCCCGGTTTTGTGTAACCTCCGTTACTTTAAAAAAAAAATTAAAGTGATCAAGATACCTGTCTCATTTTCATCTTATATTCCTAAATTGCCTAGAAATACTTCAAAAGAATCAAACTTCTTTAAACTATGCAAAAAAAACTCCGCGAACCATAAACTCAGCTAAAATTCCATTATCATACTTGACAGAGAGGTATCTCACTAATGGAGCACGCATGAGGGTGTACTTATGACGAAATCTTCACCAGATGTCATCAAGGCTTGAGTTATTTGATGGTGCAATCGTGTGACTTCATTTCCCGAAATTTACCTGACGTTTATCTCATGTTTTAGAGACCGGACAAATTCTTGGTAACGGAAGTTACAGTTACGGAAGTTCAAATTCTACCTTTTCTGTTACATCTTTAAGTGAAATTAATAACTCGGAAAAACCAAACATACTCCATAATAATCCTCACTAGCTCCTCCATCACCACAAAAATCTGGACGAATCATTTTTCATTTTTTCCTACTGTAATCTTAGTAACGGAAGTTACATCCTTAACTGTTCCCCCTAAATCCTGCTATTGTGATAGGGAATTTCTTTCCACAGGTTTTTGCTCTTCATTTTATGTATTGCGTATCAAAAAGAGCAAACTTAAGTAATGTCTACCCGATGTAAATCATTCGCAGTATTTATTTCTAGGCCATTTGTGATCTGCCCTCAGATCGGTAACGGAAGTTTCATAAAAATAGCGGACACCAGTTCACTGAAGATAAAAGCAACAAAACTGACCTGCAGTGAGAAATGATCATGTAGGACTTTAGTTTAGGTCCCTCCCGAGGCATTGGATGAATTAGTTTCCATAGTACAAGGCGACAAGCTCAAATATACTGTAGCCTTCTATACCCACCCTCTCTGCGGACATAGCAAAATTGCATTTTTTGGACACTTTTGGCCTTTATTCTCTCAAAGTTACTGTCTACAGGAGCACAAAGCGGTACTGTCGCTATTTATTTGGGCATATTTTAAGTATTTTTCAACGAAATGATTATGGAAAAACAGTTTGAGTCCTCAAAACTTGCCATGGACACCAAAAAATGTTAATTTACCCACTTAACGTGGAATGAGTGATTTATGTAACTGGATTGTACTGGTGTGCTCATTCTCCAGCCGTCAGGGTGTCTCGATCCGCCCACGTTCCTTA